CTATTACTGCTATCAGACTAACTAGTCTATAGTATCCCGCTTTCTCTCTAGCTCCTTTTTTTTTTAAGAAAGCAGTGGGGTTACATCAGCTAGCTTCCAGTCATTAGGAACTGTTCCAGAGTTAGCTGGCCAATACACTCAATATGAAAGTCCACTTTCATAAGTATCTGGGATGTAGATAATTGCACCCTAGGGATTTATTGACCTTCAATCTCATCAATTTTCCAAACATCATTTCCCTACTAACAACTGCTTTCCCTCAGTTTCTCCCTCTCACTTGAGCCTGTGTTTGCCAATATTTTTGTGACATTATTTGCATCCTGCTTGGTAAAGACAGAACCAAAATATGCATTCAATTGGTCTACCATCTCTTGGTTCCCCGTTATAACTTCTCCTGTATGATGCAGATCCCACCAATAAAATAAAGTATACAAATGGAATCAACACGAGTATTAAAACGATCAACCAAAGGCATACTTACATCACTGTAATTAGGTCCAGGTTAACCTGCTGCATCGGTTCCTCAAAATCCCTCCCTTAACATTTTAGAATGATCGCCCACTTTCTTGGTGAGACCCTTTTCATAAATTATTTCTTTGCCCTAGGTTTTGTCACCCTTCCTGGTTGCACTTATTTTTAAAACAAAACAATGCATAAAATACATTGAGATGCTTTTCTTTTGGTGAAGATGTCCTATAAATGCAAATAGTTGTTGATATGACGGCATCTGCCTACTTATAACTGAGCTAGAATGCTACAAATAAGGTAAAACTTCTTTGGTAGATTAGGAAGGAGAACCGGATAGGTACACAGTACAAAAAGTATCACTCACTGCATATCTCCAGATTCACTTTTAAAGAGGCATGCGCTCATGAAAATTGATGAGTGAATAATTTGCATTTTGTTTATTTGGCAGGAAGAAAGCCCAAACCAAAGAAGTGACTTTACCCTCTGCCATGCGCAGTTAACAAGTAGATTTGATTCAAATCTACATTGTAATGTTCATTTACAAACAACTGATGGAAAAATGCAACATCTGCCTATGAATATGGTGCTCCTTGGCTCCCAATTGGATTATGCCTCAGCTCATAAAAACAAGGCTTAATTGAGCTGTGCAAAGCTGGAATACTCCCAGATTCAATTTGCAGTCTCTGTTGAGTTGTCTGTGATCAAGTAACAGTAGAAATGTTAAAACTGACCTTCATGCCCTCGATCAGTGGGAAATATTGACTAGAAATTTTCTTCAGGTACTAGAGTGTGTGTGTGTGTCAGGTATTGCTTACAGTTGGGTATTTATTGTATTTTGTTACATAACCTCCTGAAAGTCTACAAAAAAAAAAGGAAAAAAAAAAATTGCTTTGGCCAGTGCATGTGGAATACCAGTCCAAGTAGGACTTAAATGTCTTCAGAAGAAGAGGAAAATAAAAATAAAAATAAAAATAAAAATAAAAATAAAAATAAAAAT